TTCTAAACTGTATTGCACAGGCATGGAAATATACTACTGGAAGAATCATAGGAATATGTTAAGTTGGAACACAAGAGGAAATCGCGAAAAAGGAGCGAGGAAATGAGGTACTTAGTGTGCAGAGGTCACAGAATTTGTAGGTGTGGATGGATAACAACTAGCTGGAGCTAATATATAGATAAAAGGCGTATACTTCAACTAAAGGAATATATTTCGATAGAAAGCGATATAAAAAAACGAATAAAGATCCGGAAATGCTTGAAATTCTACATCTAAGCGGCTGGAACTTAAAAACTGGAAAGAGTCACTTTGCACGTGGGTATCAGTACTAATTGCCTCTAGTGATAGTATAGACGAGTGTAATCCGCTGACTGGTAGTACCAGCCTGAGTGATAAGCAAAAATGACGATTGCATACAGGTTCGGAAGAACGTCGATTTGTTTGGCGGCGATCCAAACAAGGTCACTTTATTCGGGGAAAGCGCTGGCGCAGCTTCCGTGTCGATGCACTTGTTAAGTCCAAAAAGTGCACCATATTTCCAACGAGCTATCGTCGAGAGTGGTAGTGCTACAGTGCCATGGGCTCTCGAATCCAGGTACCACAGATTGAACTCTTAGCCCCGGAAAAAGTATAGTAAGACGCGATTATATCAGTGTTTAAAGTGTTTCTCAAAACTGATATTGGTAGCGAATCAACAAATGGCTGGATTTGCACTATTTTAGGCAAGTGGCAATTGCGCGATCAGTTGCTTTGTATGAAGATATGCGTTGTGGTAATATGTCAAAAGACCCGCAGAACTGGGATCTCGAGAAGGTGAGTGAAAAACTTTTAATACATTAATTAGCCGCCAACAGATAATTGGACAAAGGACCACTTTTTTGACAAATTTTCGTTTATTATTTAAAAATATCAGATCTTCAACGCTTTGATTTTGCATCCTGAATTTGTCTTACGTGAGCCTGTTTTATATTTTGAAAATGCTCTGACATCGATGTGGCTATTGATACTTTCAAAACGAGATAAGTTGCTAATGTTGGGTTCCTACGAAGACAATCCCTCTATTGCTAGGATTCGTCGTTCTCCAAAAATACAAGGATAAATAAAAATATTTGATGCTGCAGCTCTTAACGATTATTTTACATGTTTCTGAGTTCACTTTTGCCTAATCGAAGTTGCGCGAGGGATTCCATCATTATTTTGAGTTCCATCATTTCTGTGCACTTTATCTCGATTTTTTATGCGTTTTTGCATAATATGCAAACGCAAAAATTCATATTGTGACGACCCCGGTGTGTGTGTGTGTGTGTGCATGTGTGTGTGCGTCTGTCCGGATATTTCAACTCGGCACCCAAGGCAGCTCCGGCGCCGAAATTTTGCCAGTGGATTCCCCACCCAAATGCCACCGCAGGACCGCGGTACCAACCCTCAAGCACGGCTAGGCCCCGCGTACGAAGAGGTTAAAGTTTTGGCGGGCAAACCGCTAACTCGGGAACCAGAAAAGCTAGAAAGCTGAAATTTTGAGGTTATGTTCCCCGCCCCTACAGGACTTAAAGATTTCAAATTCAGCCCCCGGGGGTTCGTGGTTCCCGCGTACGGCCCCCCAATGGTTCCTGGCGCGAAAATCGCTAGCTCGGGAATCAAGAAAGCTGGGAGGCTGAAATTTTCAGCAAATGTTCCCAACTCACCTACAACTTCAGTTTATCAAATTCAGCCCCCCGCCATGCGTGGTTGCCACGTACAGCCCCGTGAAAATTTTTGGCGGGAAAACGAATAACTCCAGGACCAGGGAAGCTGGAGGCTGAGATTTTCAGGAAATGTTCCCAACTCATCTACAACTTGAATTTATCAAATTCAGCCCCCCGTTATGCGTGGTGGCTACGCACGGCCCCATGAAATTTTTTGGCTGCAATTTGGGTAACTCGGGAACTAAGAAAGCTGGGAACCTGGGATTTCATGAGAATGTTACCTGTCCAACTATAGCGTGGATAATTAAGTTCCCGAAATTCT